TTCATAGTTTCTAGGGTCGGAAGAGACCTGAACAGATCATCAAATCTGACCCCCTGCCATGGGCAGGAATGAGTGCTGGGTTCATAATACCCTAGCCAGATATCTATCCAACCTCCTCTTGAAGACCCCCATGGTAGGGGAGAGCACCACCTCCCTTGGGAGCCCATTCCAGAGCTTGGCAGCCCTGATCATAAAGTAATGTGTCTTGATATCAACCCTGAACCTGCTCTCAATCAATTTGTGGCCATTATTCTTTTTTATCCCAGGTGGTGCCTGGGGGAACAGAGCCTCACCTATTTTCCACTGGTCCCCCCGGTGAGATTATAGACAGCCACCAGATCCCCCTCAGTCTTCTCTTGTGGACGCTGAATAGATTCAGGCCCTTTAGTCTATCTTTGTAGGGCCTGGCCTGCTGCCCCCTGACCGTGGAAGTGGCCCTCCTCTGGACCCTCTCAAGGTTAGCCACATCCCTCTTGAAGTGCGGGACCCAGAACTGGATACAGTACTCCAACTGCGGCCTGACCAGCGCCACATAGAGGGGAAGGATAATCTCCCTGGACCTGCTTGTGATGCATCTGTAGATGCACAAGTTGTGGTTAGCCTTACTGACTGCTTCCTTGCATTGGTGGTTCATGTCCATCCTGGAGTCAACGATGACTCCAAGATCCCTTTGAGCCACTGTGTTGTTGAGAAGGGTGTTCCTCAACCTATAGGTATGTTGCAGGCTCCTTCTCCCTAGATGCAGCACCTTGCACTAGTCTGCGTTAAATTCCATTCTATTCTCATCCACCCACCTCTGTAACCTGTCTAGATCTAGTTGGATTCTGTCCACCCCCTCCAGTGTGCCCCCTTCTCCCCACATCTTTGTATCATCAGCGAATTTGGACAGCGTGCTTTCCATGCCCACCTCCAAGTCGCTGATAAAGATGTTGAATAGCACGGGCCCGAGGACCAAGCCCTGGGGAACTCCATTGCCCACATCCCTTCAGGTCAAAAACGACCCATCCACCACCACTCTTTGGGTGCGACCTCGAGCCAATTTGCCACCCATCTGACTGTGTAGGCATCAATGCTGCAGTCGCCTATTTTTATGAGAATGGGATGAGAAACAGTGCCAAAGGCCTTCTTGAAGTCCAGGTAGATGACTTCTACCTCAGCGCCCACATCCAAGGAATTGGTGACCTTGTTGTAAAAGGAAATAAGGTTAGTCAGGCAGGATCTGCCTGCAGTGAACCCGTTTTTGTTGCCCCTGAGCATTACCTCCCATGCTGGGCCACTGCAGATGTGCTCCTTGAAAATTTTCTCAAAGGTCTTCCCAAGGACCAAGGTGAGACTAACTGGCCTATAGTCCTCCTTTCTCCCCTTCTTGTAAATGGGGACCACATTGGCCCTTTTCTAGTCCTCTGGGACTTGTCCAGAGCACCACAAGCACTCATACAGCCATGCCAGGGCCCTGCTATGACCTCCATCAATTCCCTTGGATGAAAAGCATCTGGACCTGCTGATCTAGCCCCTCCAAAAGTTCCTGAACTAGATCATCCCTACCCCTAGGTATGGCATTGTGTCCCGTGAGCCTGTCCATAATCCTAGTGAGGGAGTTGTCCCAGTCCCTGCTCAGAAATATGGAGGCAAAATGTCAGATCCCTCACCAGGTCATTTCCTGTGGCAAGGACCAAGTCCAGCAAGGCATTTCCTCTGGTGGGATTGTGTACCTCCTGGGTTAGGTGGAGGTCCTGTATGCAGGCTAAAAACCTGCGTGAGCGTTCAGACCTGGCTGACTGATCCTCCTGGCAGATGTCTGGGTAGTTTAGGTCACCCATGACAACCACATCCCTTGTCCTTACAGCCTCCGTGACCTGACCTGAAAATTCCAGGTCCAGTTCATCCCCGTGGTGAGGCGGTCTGTAGTAGACACCCACTATCAAGTCCCTTTCCCCACAACCCCCTTGCATTCTAACCCAGAGTGCCTCAGTTTGCTCCTCTTCTGAACCCATCCTGATCATCGAGGCGTGTACTGCTCTTTAACATACAGTGCTACACCCCTCCCTCCATTTTTTCCCTACTCTGTCCCATCTATACAACCTATAGCCCTTGATATCTACTGCCCAGTCATGGGTAGAATTCCACCAGATTTCTGTAACCCCAACCAGGTCTGGGTTTTTGCTAGCTAGCAGGAGGTTTTTGCTTTGCTAGCTAACTCTCTGTTAGACTACATGGTCAGTAGTAGTAATAAATTATTCTGTCATTTAGCAAACAATCTTTTACATTATGTCCTGAATCTAAGATATGTTAAAATAAAACACCCTAATAATGGGGATGCTTCCTTAATTGGAACTGGTGCCAGGAAATGTGTCCCATGTCCCTAAAACAATGTAACTGATAATTTTAGCTTACATGCACTGTATGGCCGTAATCCTGACAACTCATTCTGCACAGGCAGATCCTGTGCTCCCATACATCTTCCAGTTCTTTTTGTGGATTTGGGACTTGAAGATCAGGAAAAATATTAGAAGCAATAAGTATGGTTGTTCTTATTCCTATTATAGTGAGTTTCCCTCATCAGTAAACACATTACCTTTTTTATACAACAGACAGTGTACAATGACAGTTGTCATTGACTCTAATTATAACATATTATAATTTCACATCACAGTAAGTATGGGGCCAAAATGTGATGTAATCAGGAATGCAGGGTAGTGAGAGGGGAGGCGATACAGTCTCTCATGTGCCTAGATAGAGTACGGTGATTGAGGTGATGCTTGGGTCCTGATTCGATTAAGTTTGGCACTGTTTTAGGTGTTATTTTTACAAAATGTCTCTCTAACTTGAATTTCTGCTGTGATGGGTCCATGGAGGTAAAGTAGTCTGAATGTGGAATGAGACCATGGGAGGGTGTTGCAAGTGGATGGACTGGCTGGGTCTCAGTCCTGCACAGTTCATCACTGTTCCTGGTTTTATTGCATGTAGTACTTTATTAAGCTTAAAGAAAAGACACAGTGGCTGTGTCTACATGAGATGCTGACTACACAGTTATTACTGTGAAGTCATTTAATATTTGCCTACACAAGTATTAAATGACTGTGCAGTAACCCGTGTTATGGCGCAGTAGCATCCCCACATGGCTTCTTGTGATGCTGACTATGCAGCAGCTTATTATTACTGCATGGTAGTGTTACGTCATGCTTCTTGCTGCATGATGCTACTGTGTGGTAGTAATGAGCTACTACACAGTCAGCATCTTGTGTAGACGTGCCCAGTGAGTGTAACTAGAGAGCTTTTAATCACTGCTGGCTGCCCAATTAGACTGGTTGACAGATTGGAAGTGCATAGAGGTCGCATGTCCAAAGTGTGATAGAACAATTTAATCTCTTATAACTTTGTAAAACCAGTACCAGTTACAACACACCCATGCAGGTACAACATACCCAGTACAGATGCCCATGCAGGTTTCTTCTGTTTTACTACCAGTTAGTTCTCTTATTGTTATTGTTATTCTCTTGTTTAACTTCCTTCAAACCTCCCTATCTTTCTGGAAGATGTGTCACTGCATAGGACTTAAATTCTCTTTGCTCATATTTTTGAGAGCTAAGCTGGGCCTGGAACTGTCTTCCAGGAAAAGAGAGGGAAGCGGGGAACTTAGTTAAAAGCAGAGATCTCATTAAATCAAGGAGAAGGTGGGGGAAGGGGAAGAGGAAGGGGAAGGCAGGGAGGCCTGATAAAAGCTGAGGCTGTGTTGAGCCAAGGTGTTTTGCTAAAGCCTTAGCAATACAGTCAGGGTCACAGAGGCTGTAGTCTATCTAACAGAGAGTGGAAAACGTAGGAGGAAAGAGTGGGAACAGGAGATGATTTAAAGCAGGGAGTGAATGGGGACAGAGACAGGCGATGGCTGACAGCATTGAGGAGTGTCTCCAACTGTCCTTTCATTTCCAGCAGTACCTGCCCATAGACTCTGGGCATCTACATCTACCTACTCCTTGAGCTGCTCCGAACTTTCTCTCTTTATACAAAACACCAACTCCTCCTCCTCCCCACGCACACACCTTATGTTCACTCCAGTAACTACCAGGTTTCTTTCAACCCCAACAGTTTCTCCCTTAGCTTGGCTCCCCACAGACTTCACCTGGCTCTCTTTCAGACCTTCTGAGGGTACAAAACAAAACAAAAAGAGGACAGGGTTTAGGGAATGTGTACCCATCTTCCCCACCCAAAAGCCTGTTTTCACTGGTTCAGTGAAGTTAGTTTACCACAAATTTAGATTATATCAAATATAATATGAAAAGAGTTCTAAGGTTCAAAGTCAAGTTCTCAACAGAACGTGTCAGGACCCCTGGATGATCAAACCCAGACATTAGCATCTCCAGGCAGAAGCCTAGGCTGCACTACTCCCAGGTGCTGGCTAGATGCCAGACTCAGCTTAGCCTGGGGTTCAGTAGGGTCCACGAGAGGTTTTCAGTGGGAGGGCAGATAATCTAGATAAACCACCGAAAACCACAGCCCCTGATTGTAGGGTTGTACAACCCTCCCTCTTTCTGCAAGGCCTTGGCCTAGTAGCAGCACTTGGACCTTCCAGCTTACATTCTGGTTGATCTTGTTCCTGTCCTGGATTTCCCGTCCTTGATCAACTGCTTTGCTCCGACCATGACCCTGTTTTGTTCCTTGGATTGATATCCTGGACCTTGGACTAATACCTGGCTTTGACCTCAGCTGCTTCCACTCTGGTAAACTGCAGACTCTTATCCTATTGTAAAACATTAGGCATGACTGCTTGTACCTTGGTCAATCTTTTCAGTAAACATATGCCAAAATTGTTTGCCCTTATTCAGTTTTCTTGTGCTTATGCATTATGATATCTCTCTCCTATGCCTGAAGAAGGGTGTTTGTGCCTGAAAAAGCTTGCAAAGAACAATTTTTTCAACTATTTAGTTGGCCTAATAAAAGATATCACATTTACCTAAAGAACCTTGTCTGCATTATGATATGATCTTTAATTACATGATTCCCCCTTTTTTCACAGATTCCCTGCTGTATTCAGTCATACAACGTATGGTGCTTTGTGGATGAATTGGGTTTGAATAGTGAATAAGTCTCTTGGCTGTAGGACTCCTGCTGTGGAGCAGAAGCTGGAAAGCATGCAGTGAATAAGGCAGGAAACTGGGACATCAAATGATCTCGTGCTTAAGGCAACTGAATGCCACCATGGAGAACTGAAGTACATCATTGTCTCTACTACAGAGTTTTTGTGTGATAGTGGTCAAGTTGTGTAAACTGTACAAAACATGTAAAAATCATCTTTGGAGTAGGAACTAGAACCCAGGTTCCCTCTTTCCAAGGGAGTGCCTTAGCAGCTAAGCTCATGTTCCTCTGTCACGCTCAGTTGCATTGTCCCTCTGCCTGATAAGTCTTGGACTATTCCATGCAAAGTGGAACAGCTTTTAAGAGGAGGGACTGAGTTGCCTCCTCTCCAGAATAACCTGTACCCTGGTAGGGAGGGTGCTCTTATGGGATATGTGCCTGTGATCTCCCTTCTGGTAGAGGAAGAAATTGAACAGATGCTATGAATACTGAGTGCTCTAACCACCAAACCTTTGTAGAAAAAAGGGGAGTAGTACCGCTGCTGGTCCTTTCTGGAAGCGGTTGCCATTTTATTTTGGACAAAGCCTGATCCAATGGATGTGCTCTAGGAATGCCCACCATAACAAGCACATTGGGGGAGATAGATCAAAGAATATTTAGTTTCTGGGGCTTAGGTGTGAACTACTTGTAGAACTGCCCAGACATCTCAAGACTGGGGCACTTCTGGGCATGCAGAACTTCAGGCGGCTAGAGAAATTTAGTGTTGAAAGCCAAGATGCTGATGGACTTGAGGCATTTCCAGGGTTCGACAGTGTCTGAGTGGATGTTTTGAGGATCTAAATTTTAGATTTAGGTGTTTATGTCCTTTATTTATATTTAGCCCTAAAATGCTAAGATAAAAGCACCATAGGAAAACTTGAGAAAATTAATAATTCTGTGTTTGGTTCAGGGTTTGAACAGTGTGAGGCCACACAATGATGGATGGGGGTAAAAAAAATGTCAGTGGTTCCTCATTAATAAGCACCTTGTATCCTGTTCATTGAGTGAGCCAGGAGTCTTGCACAAAAATGTAAATGTAGTAATGTATATGCACGAAGGGGGTGAACTAAGGTTACTGAGGCAAGTTTAATTCTGGCATTTCCAAACTTTTTAATGCTTGACTTGATAACCTTGGAGTTTTTCTAATGTAGTTTGTTGCATCTAATTGGAAATGCATCTGTCACATCGGATGACAAATATCTTAATTAGCAGTTTTAAAGAAAATTAATCTTGTAAATAAAGTGCTAATAGGAAATATGGCAGAAAATGTTCTAAGGGCAGAAGGTGAATCCCCTCTACTGCTCTGATAGTGTCACCTTTCCAAACTGGAACAACATAATGGTGTATCATCTCATGATTTTCAGCAGGTAATCAAGAGAAATAAGGCATCATGACAAAGAACTATGTGAGGGTAATCTGTCCCTCCTTCCTGTGACAGTTGCAGCATGTAGTTACTCCTCCATAATTTACTCAAACTACTGGAAATGTTTGAGGAAAGAGTTATACTCTGATTTTTAAGGCAAACAATTTCCTTTCACATGTGTGTCTACTTTGACAAGTGACTTTGTAAGGCTATGTAATTGGTTTGTTCCTTTTGTGTACCTCACAGGCCAGCGGCACAAGGGCTCGGCATCACTGAACTACAGAAACAACTCTCAAACTGGAGCTTGTGTGTTGCATCACTTAATTTTGACCTCCTGGGCAGAGATAATTTCACTCCTGTATGTAGTCCAGAGCACTAGTTTCTGGCTTAATGACAAAGGTAAAATTACAGTATTTTTTCCCTTATTAAGCTCTGCAGATCCTTCACTGCTACGAGACACTGATTCGGCTTCTAATCTTGCTGGAACAGCCTCAGCAGAATTGCTTACTGAGTTCCAATTACAGAGCCAGTCAATTACTTCTGCAGAAGCATTACTGGATGGAGCACGTGGAGTTACAGAGATGCCAGGGAGGATGTATTTGAACACAAGAGCTAGGGGCAGACATTCAAAAAGCCTGAGGCTGAATTGATTCACTCTTCGCAGGTTAGTTTAAGCTGCACAGCTTAAACTGATTAATAACTGGACAGACATTCTTTGTTAAATCAGAAAATGCAGGCATGTGTCTGCAGTGGCTCAAACCAGAAGCTGGTGGGCGCTAGAGCATGCCTGCCAGCCACTGCCAAAGGGGAGAGAAGACAGACGCCCTTCAAGGCTCTCCCCTCTCCCTGCTGCAGCGGAGGGGGCGTGGCCAGGCACCAGCAAGGGCTAGCGGGACACACAGGCTACCAGCCACCAGCCTGACCATCAAGGAAGCAGGGTTTTCAAACTGCTGGTAGGCTCTGCCTTCAGGCTGTCCTTGCTAGCAGCTGAGCATAGAAAAGGAAAAGGAAAATGTCAGGGCTGTCTTTAAGTAAATGTAACTGATCAGGGTTACTCATTCAAAAACACCGGTCCAGGATATTTACATGCCAATATGTTTCTAAATACATTATAAACATGTAGATAGAAAAAAAAAAAGCCCATAGGGCAGGGTGTCCAATTCTTTTTTAGGTTATACTGCTGTGAATGAGAAGTACAGTAAAAGCTGTGTTAACCAGTATGAGTGGGATAAGGAGGGTGCTTAGTATCTAAAAATTCCAGTTATTCGAGGCAGGGGTTTTCAACAGTTTTGAGGCTGGGGCACCCAGAGCAGCTGCAGTGCAGGGTGGTGGGTGGTGGTGGCGATGTGCAAGCTTCCCTTCTTCCCCCGCGGCCAGCCAGGTGGAAATTCCGGTTAATAGAGTGTTCTGGATAGTAGAATGCTGGTTAACACAGCTTTTAGTGTAACTCTGTTTAGGTCAATGGTGTTATGCCAGGGAAAAAATGGCATCAGGAAGAAGAGGTCTGGACCCAGTGCTTCTCAATATTCACTTTGTTAAAATAATAATTGGACATCTTTATTTTAAATTAAAGATGTTGGGCAATGAATTAAAGAGAAGCAGGTGGAGGGCCCAAACAAATGTCCATTATAATTAGTGGATCCTTTCTGAGTGCAGTGGGGAGCTGGACGGGGATTGGTGGTACCAGTATAGCTGTGCTTGCAGAATTCCTGCTATAGCTACCTCTAGAACAATGGGAACTGGATATGTGGGCCTCTAATTATCTTCCAGCATTTGGCTATCGCTATGCTTGAAAACTGTTGCAAACCCAGCATGGATAGGGTCAAGGTCCTGGGGCATACTTGCTAGCTCCACATTTGCTTGATAGGGCTGATTCAATTTGGTGGAGATTTGGCCCAATTCAGCAGCTGAATCTCTGAATCCGAATCGAATCAGGAGACCCTTTAATCTCTCTGAATCGAATTGGAAGTACTTCTGGTCTACTTCTGGGTCCACCGCTGAGCACGCAGGGTGGCCATCCATGCTCCTGTGGGACGCTCCATCCTCCCCACCATCGCAGCATTCACGAGCCACATTCACGAGCCTGGTACCTTGAGGTATGTAGAAAAAAACATTTAAAGCTGTGTCTATGGCTGAATTGCTGATTTCTGAATCAGCATTGAATCTTCAGATTCAGATTTGGCTGAATTGAATTGGGACAGTTATCCGAATCAATGAGTCAAATCACTATCCCCAATTTGGGCCGAATCCAAATTGAATATGGCCCGTTTCACACACCCCTACTGCTCGGTGGTCTCTGTACTCTATGGCAGCACACACCCAGTCTGCTCTGCAGCCTCCTGACTCTCACTGAAAAGTTTTTTCTGGGTGATGTGCCTCTTGCCTTCTCACTGTCCCAGTCTGACTCTAAAGGACCCCTCACCAGGCATCCTGCTTCGGTGCCACTTGACCTGTGAATCTCAGGTGCTGCTCAACCAAAGGGGCTGAGGTTTGTCTGTACAATAAGAAAGGTTCAGCACTGTAAAGCCCTATGGAAGGACAATATAGTCCTGCACTCTGGATGGAATCACCTCTACTGTGAGTTGTTTTTACCTTTGTCCTTCTGACAGATCGTCTCATTTATTTCCAGCAGCAGAGGCCTCTAGTTGTGGAGTAGGCAGATCCAAGTTCTCTCCCAGCTTCTTCCAGGAAGTTCCAAGTGGCTCTGGTGTGCAGTGGGGCACAGTTTAAAAGATCAGGCTGTTAACATCCAATACATGTAGTATGCAAAACTCTTACCTGGGAAGTCACCCACATCCCTGAGTAGTCTTGTCCCCTCTATTGCCTATAATTTGTCTTCATGCCAGGGAGAAGTACTTCAGAGGGTCTCAGCTGGAAGGGGACCAGGACCCTTCCAATAGCCCCCTTTTAGTCTTTGCTGCTACAGCCCCCTTTGTACCTATTGATCAAGGAATCCATACTTTTTCCTTCCCTCTACTACTCTTCAACCAACTCCCTTCAAGTTGTGTCCCCCATTTCCTTCTGCCACTGCTTTCTGGATTGTCACCAACCCTTCTCAGCCACTGTTCCCGACCACCATCTGGCTCCTGTAACTGCCCTCTTTCCCTAGTCCTCCACCATTTTTATTTAACACCCCCCGCCCCTGCATTCTATGTCACTTGATCTTCTTTCTTGTTGCTGGTTGGGCACAAGCACAGGGAAACCCACACAGCAGTTCTCTTCTGTCAGTTTCAGGGCCTGGCATCACAACACACCAGAGCAGCTAGTGCAAGGCAAAAGTTCTGCCTGCAGTCCCAGGGTGGAGCACGTGCAATCACTCTTTGAGGATGACATGTGCTGTCTATTCACACTTCAAAGCTGTGGGGGCATAGAGTATGCTCAGTGCAGATGCACTCTTCTGAGAGTCTAGTTGCCGCACACTAACTAGTATCTAGTGAGCAAATTTCAAGTCCCTGCTCCAAATCATGAAGGCATTGAAGTTTCTTAAAAAGATTTGCAACCCATTTCTTAATGTTGGCAAGAGAACATATTTTCCCTTAAACTCATCCTCTGAAACATCTGAAATATTTTTTCCTGAAGTTTTCCCAGAAAAATTCAGAGATAGATGCCCAAATGCAAAATCAGTTACAGTTAAGGCTGAGTTGTAAGCAACTAAATACAAGGACTTCTAAAAGGAAATGAGGAGCAACTTTATCTATAAGGATTGCTACAGGCTCTAATGAGGTACCAATGACAACCAGAAGCATTACCATCATTTCATTTAGACTTGCTGTGAATAGGTTTAGATGGCACAGTAGTTAAAATGCTAGCAGATGTCTAAATTTCTGTCTGCAATAAGGGCTCACATCTTTTCTTTGTCACTGGTGCTGCTGTATGGATGTTGGCAACTATGAAATTTTTTTTCAAGAAAATGGATAATCTAGACACAGTGAGGGAGAAAGGTATTGAAGTGTCCCTGAAATGAATTCAGAGCCCATTTGGGTTTGCTTTGTCATCTGATTAAGTAGAAACATTCCCAGAAATACTGGGAAGAGTGCAGATGAATTAGTAAGTTTTAAGTCAGCCTCAGTAGTTCAGTAGTGACTGAATAGTGCTAAGAAAAATGAGATTAGCGATGTTTATTTTGTTTGATTAGCATCTTTGTAGGTAAAGTTAATTTTGATTGGACTCTACATTTCAGTGTCTCTTAGTGTCACAAAGCAATGACACAGACAGAATGCTGCATTGGGCTCTGGAATGCTTTGGTCATTCAGCTAAACAAAAGATTTGTAGTTTACAGTAGAATTGCCTCCACTTCTATTGCTTTGCTGCCTATGTATGTTAGCAGCTACAAGACAATGAACTTGAACTATAGCTTAGCACTCCTTGCCATGTTTGCCTGATGATAAATGTCAGGGTTCTATTGGATAGCAGCAGCAAAGGAAATAAGGCCAAGGAAAAGGGTTGTATGCTGCAGCATTTTTTAAACTGGCTCTGTGTAATATGGTATATTCTTTACAATACATACTAATTGCTCAGGTTATCTGTTGCTTTTGCTTATAACTATAGTTATAAGGATCATTCTTTGCTTGCTCTCATTTTGCCAATAACATCTACTCCACTCCCTGAACTACTTCCTCCCCACCTAGCCACCAATCTTGGGATTTAAAAATATATTAAATTTGGAGTTACTTTTATTTACCCTTTGACTTCTAACCCACTAGAACCACATTTTCAAGCTTTTATTTGCAATGACGAGGTTTAGGGTGAAATCCTAGCTCTAATTATGTCAATCAGAGTTTTGCCAATGACTTCAAAGGGGGACAAATTTCTGTCCTTACTCTTTTTTCCCCCCAGTGAATGTTGATCACCTAGCTTTAAGAGCTTGGTCTTTAAGATGCACAGTAAGAGACTGAGAGGTACAATACAGTCACATAATTTGGCAACACCGCCAAACTATCCAAACATTCAAGGAACTCTCAGGGGCCAGAGGGGTTGAATGGACTAGCCTTTTTATGTCTATTCACTGAGACTTGACCCAAGATATGAATAAGCTGAGGGAAAAAAAGATATAAGTGACCTATTTACAAGACCACCAAGATCTCATGTGATGTGTAAAAAACACTAGATAGTATCTAATTTCATTGCTTGTCGTAAAGAGGTAGCTAATGCTCACAGATAAACATTATAGAATCTTAGGTCCACTGTTGCAATGTTTTTTGATGAGACTTGAAGGTGGGCATTTTTGCTATGGCTGATGGTAGTCTGATGATTTTTTCATGGAGCATTAAATCAACTAAGATACATATTGCTAAAGCACCCTCTAGTGGGGCAACGAAAGAGTTGCTTTTAGTAGTTGAGTAGAATTTATTCTTTGTGGTATGTATGCATTACAAGTTATGCCAAGTAAAGAGATTGGATACCAGTGAGGACCAGTACAAGGACACTTATAATAGTTTAATCTTTCAAAAAG